TTTTTTTTTGTTTTAAATCACAACTCAAGTTTCCTATCTTTTCAAAGCTTAAAAAACCTACCCACAAATCTGGATTACCAACAGTACTATTAGCTGGTTCCTTAACAAAACTGAATAATGAAAGAATTTGCAGCATTGTATGAACTGTGCAGGTGCGACTACCCACCATTTTTTGTGCAGTCCTGAAGAACTGAGAGACATCACGGACGACATTGCCAAAGGTGTCATAGAGGCGCACATAAGACCTCACCCACGATGGAAGCATGGCCCGGGTATCAGCATTTTTAAATCTGTTGGGAAACTTTTCATTTTAGTTTAAGAATACTTTTTTACATTTTCAATTAATAAGGTGAACTAAGCACTTAATTGAGAATTTTTTAAATGTGAAGCTTCTGAGACACTGTCTGGTATAGTGGAGAATGTTCCCTCTTGTATGATGTTACTTAATTAAGTAAACCTGGTCTATATCTGACCTCTGATCACACAAGAAGATCGCTCCATAGTCTTCCTTGTGACGAATCACTCTACCAATGGCCTGATTCACAGCTCTGAAAGCCTGCTGTCTGTACCAGTCTTGCCCTGATAAGTACTGTTCACACACACACACACACACACACGCACACACACACACGTAGAAATCCAACTACCGTTATACGACCAAGCAATCCTTTAGTGTACCTCAATAATTAACTTTTTTGATTTTCTTTCACCTTTTGCCCTACAGAATTCTTTTGATTCATCTCATCCAAAAATTGCATTTTCAGGACAACGCGAGGGTCTTTTTTTGGAGGGAAAGGAAGGCCAGTAATGATGACACCCCGACCAAACATGTCTGCAAAATCCAGACCCTCGCTTGCCTAAGACAAGAAGATATAATTACATAGCAGCTTTGAGAGAAGGTTTTTGTGTAACCCTACATTAAAATGAAAGAGAATCCTAACTCCATATCTACGTTTTCTTAAATGTTTATCCAATTAGTCACAGCCATCATAGAAAAAGAGGTAGGTTGCAAAAGGGAAAAACAGCATAAAACGGCTAACAAAGAGAGATATTCATGTCACAAAAATGAACAGTCATTCCCAAAACATTGTATGGTAATACACTTGTAAACAAAAGAAAAAAAATTGCCTGATGTTGACACAAGAGGACAAGGGTACCAAAGATATGACATGTCCTTTGAATATCATATACAATTGTGATCAGAAGTTTATGAACACTCATCATGGGTATGAATGTCATGATTATTTTGGGCTTCTAATGATTTCTTTCAACTGCTCTTTCCAGGTTGAAATGGTTTTACAGCATTCATCTATTATGACTTGAACATTATTGGATGCACTACTTTAAATTAATTGAGATTTTATATTAATCGCACAGGGTCAAAGGCATATAATAAACTCAAATATCAACAGACATCCACTTAAATCATTCATAAGGTCTTTGTCTTTTAAATTGATGAGGTCAAGGCCAATAAACTCATCAGTGATTGTGATTTATTACAGCTGGAAGTTTCTCTTTGCAAGCATAAAAAGGACAAATACTCAGAACAACATGAAAGTCCAAGGAACTCAGTTTATGTAAATTGGGAAGGTCTCTTGGAACCATTCTGAACTGCAATTCCAAGATCATTAGTTCAAACAACTTCAATTAAATACAAGATATTCAAATGACTCACTACTTTACCATGCTCCGAAGGGGGGGACTCTAGGATATCAACAACTACAACATTTGCAGGTGTCCACATAGATAAGCCAAATGATTTCTGGAGAACAGTTTTTTGGACCGAGAAAAACAATGATCGAGTTGTTGTCCACAATTACAAGGTGTGTTTGGACGAGTAAAAGTGAGGGCTTAACACCTAACAACACTGCACCAACTATCAAGTATGTACAGATAGATGATTTGTACGAACATTCATGATCATGATGATTGTATGTAAACTTCTGATCACATCTGTATACCCACACTATACAGCAAAAGTTGGAGCTGAAACATGACAACAGAAAACATTGTAGGACTTTTGCAGAGTCCATGGACAGCCTCCTCACCTTCCCTCGACACACACCAAAGAAGGCTCCTCCTTTGGATCGGGGATCATTGACTTTGGTGTAATAACCATCAATGACCTAGGAATAGACAGAAAGAAGCTCAATTTCTTTCAAATCTTTAGATTTTTATAACTATAAAAAGCTTAGGATATTTCTTTAGATGTGAAATGTTTACAGAGGGGTTCACAGCCGAGTGATACGACACCTAAAATATAAATAAATACTAACTTCATTAAAGGTGCCCTTCTCTGTAGGTTCAACAAACATGGGCTTTAACTTCTCAATGCGGTTTGTATGTCCGGTAGCCTGGTGATAACACATATACACACGCAGGAAATTACTTTATACAGTAACATCTTAGATTGCTATAAATGATTAAATTGACTGTGGAGTACCTCATTTAAAAAGAAAGAAAGAAAGAAATGAGTTCATACTGGTTAAAAGGCTTTTTACTTTTAATTATTACATTTATATTTTGATATCTTTACATGCTATTTTTTAAAATATGCACACTGTACCCTTACGCACCCTGATGGCTCCCCACCCCACCAGCTTATCGTTGTGGAGGGGTTTGTATGTCCCAGGTATCCCAGAGGCTAAATTGTGAGGGGGCTATTTACCCTGTGGTAGGGTCACCCATGGCAAACTGGTCCTGGTTGAGGGGCCACACAAAGAGCAATTTAAAAGGCCCCTGGTAATAGAACGTCAAAGGAACAGTTCCCACTACCCGGGACAGGGTTACCAGGGAGAATGCTGGACAGACCACGTGAACGTAAGGGTATAGTTAGAAGTCCACAAAACTTCTCAAAGTTTTGTGGACTTTGAGAAGGGTGTCTGGCACATTGCTCCGGGCCATTCGATCCGTATACGACTGTTGCAAAAGCTTGTCTGCATGGCCCATCATCCACTGGAAACAATAGCAGAGTTGTCTGTATATTAAATTTCCATTAAATGTATTTCTAATTTGCTAGACAATACAAAATATAATTCATGGAGAAAGAGAACACAAAACATAAAAGTGACTAGAAAAGCTAAAAAACAACAAAACACCCCCCAAACCCATATGGTTTTCCATAGGTGATTCTGCTGAATTACACTTACCCTCCAGAATTCCAATGTTTTTTCCATTGAAGGAAAGGAAGGGAAAAATACTAAAAGTCCATGAGGAACCAGACAACTCAGGTTGGCTGAGAAAAGAACACAAGTTACAAAACTGTATCACAATCAAAACCAAGGTAACAATTAAGTTTAAAATCCAGGCATCTGTGAAAATAGAATTTATGAAATTTAACAGAGTTAAAAGTTAGCAGAGAGTTAGCTCGCTAGTTTCCACCTAAACATAATACGCCATGTTCTGATCGAGAGATTTCTAAAAAAACAAAACATTACAACATACAGCCGAAGGATGGACGCTAACTTTTTTTTTTTT